GCAGATCCCTCTTAAGTTTGAAGCACTACTTGTCTGTGAGTGCCCTTGGTGCCCTTAGTGCAGGTGCTAGGCTTTCCGTAGCAAGCGGGTGCGATTTTCGTATTCAGGGGATCAAATTACCCAATTCTCATTTCACTTGGTCGGGTTGACCAAGTGAATGGTATGCTGCAGTGAGACGTTGGTTGCAGCAAGTGATGCAGAATGAGATAATTTCATTTGCGTTGTTATCGTCAGCATGCAATTCCATTTCACCACTACTCTGCTCAACCTTCCTAACGTTAGAATTTGGAATGTGGGGTGGATGTTTGTAAAAATGCGGGAAATGGCTGGCTTATCTGGTGACAAAACTATCGTACGCACGAAATTCATTGCGAGCTTCGCAGCAGCAACGTAGCGTTTCCTCTTGGAAATGACCTGTTTTGCTCTGCACGCTATCGTGCACAACTCTCTGTAGCAGGGTGAATAACGGTCGAGGAATTCCTCGACCATGGCTCTGTACTATGCGAGAGTAGTGCCGAGAGTGAACGTACGCGCGGAGAGCACAGACGGCTCGCGCATGAGTGTGAATGTCCGCGCGGGAGAGCGTAATGATCAGGCGAAAATCCTCGACAAGCCGTTGAGGAATCCTCGACCGATATTCACCCTGCTCTGTAGGCTTTAGTGACTGGAAGAGGTGTGACACACCTCCTTAGGGCCAACGTGTACTGAAAGGAATCGTATGATCAGTTTTCCTATTTCCGATCGCCAGCAATTCTGAATTGCTTTTGCTGTTCACACTGCCACGCGGGACTTTATTCCACTGCTCCTAACACTGTACTGATGCACAGCTTTATGACAAAATCAATACTGATCGACCTACAATCTCCACTTGTGAGGCGAAGGAGCACTTGTGGTTTCTTTCTTTCTAGGCGAACTTGTAGCGAGCACTTGTGGTTGAAGCAGAAACTGCCAGGCTCCTTCTCCTCACCTCCTTTTATACTGTATGGCGAGCTTATCTCTTGAAAATCTAACAACATAATCAGGCACCCACGAGCTTCAAAGAGCCAACATACCAACATAAATAATGGCTAAAAACGCAACACATACACAACATTAGAACCAATACAATTACAATCGCCAAAATCTATCACTCAAAACTTCGTCGACTTATCGACATATACGTACCCTCGCCTTCAAATGACCAGAAATTGTGCAATTGCAGAAATTGACGTGGCATTAACGTGGCATCGATTCAAGAACATCTTTGAGCACACGTGATGTCACCTTTTCATCGAGAATTTAGCCACGTGTGCCAATGCCACGTCAATTTCTGCAATTGCACAATTTCTGGTCATTTGAAGGCGAGGGTAAGGTGCTTCCGTGGAGTGCGTTAGCTGACGCTCAAGAGGTTATCCATTTTCAATGTGCGATGCACGCGACAGCGTGCAGAGCTTAACTCCAAGAGCTGAAACCCATAACGGGGACAATTTTGCTGTTTCATGTGAGATCTTGCTACGGTAAAGCATTAGTTTGGTCTTCCAACAGTGTCCTTGAATGACAACCCATTCGAATTTTTTTGAGACAGCTGCTCAACTGCTTTCAAAATTTTCTTGTGTTGACGGAGTTACGACAGTTGAGATAAAATGACTACATAGCAACCCAACCCAATTCAAATAAAAATTACCACCTTTCTGATCTTTTACTGTAATACGGAGAGACAGTTGATAGGGTAGTATGAGATGCTTCGATTCTGGCATATAATATTTGGAGTTGTGGAATCGCATTGAAGGTAACGTAGTAAATCACAAAACTGATTTGTTTTTTTCCAGAAATGATGGGAAGAAAGAAGATGAAGCGTTCACCTGGCTCTTGAAAGAGGTTAGAAATTCCTTTCATAAAGATTCAGTTGAGTGTGATATTTTCAACTGCAGGTTGGCATTGATGATAAGATAACGGTCAAGGAGTACATAGAACAGTACGATGTCATGTTAGAAGAAATGTTCCTCAAGAAGTAAAGCGTTACCTGGAGCTGAACGATTAGTACGACATCTCTCTAAGAAAGGTTTAGTGTTCAAGCGTTTATAATTTTACTCGACTGCTAACTGATGTTACTTGAATTGGAAGAAGAGAAGGTATGCCATAAGGACGGCGGGCACCCAAAGAAGCAAAAGGTGCTGGTATGGCCGTGTTAGGTCGCTGTGGGCATACTCTTCGCTGTGAAACGCGCATCGCTCCACATCCATCGCATCGCTCCGAGAGACCGCCTGCTTTTCCAGTAGATATATTTCGCCTTTTTTGACCATCTAAGTTATCGTGGATTCCTCCCTTGAATATAGTGTCCTACGATTTCGTAGTGGCCTTTAAGCTAAGAAAATTGTGTTGGGAATTTTTTGAAAAGGAGACTCAAGCGGTGAAGCATTCATTGGCAGGAACTTCTAAATATTCACTATTTCAGAGGGTATTCTCTCGTTTTGCAGCGCGCTGTAGATGTTTTTCAATGTCACAACAATTTTTCTATATGGAGTGTTTCAAGGTATTCCATTGGCAATTTGCTCGGGATCACGAAGCTCGACCTTTCGTACGAGGCGTGAACCTCATAAGGAGTGGTTGGATCTGATACCATTAATGGTACGCGATGTCGCATTTTAGTTGTTCGACGAGCGTTCAGGCCGAGCAAGTCAATGTAATGTGATCGCATCTCTCACTCTGTTATTTCTACATTTTTTTTATTACAATGCATTACGTGAAGGAAAAAAAATTCAAAATGGCCTATCGGTGGCAGCAGTGACTGTGAGGGGATTTCCTCTCATTGTCATAAAGGTGCTGCGGATTTTGCTAACGCGGGCGTGCCACTACGTAGCCAAGACAGAATCAGCGGGCCAATGCAGAGCAAGTGAGCCAATGTCAGCCGAATCTCGATAGGGAAAAGATCGTATAGGTTGATGTTTTGAAAGCTGAGAGAAGATATAGGGCGCAATTGGCAGTGCTTTTTTGGAATAGGTGAAATATGGGTGGGAAATACCTGGGATTTTGAGTTGAGATATGGAAGGCTAAGGATTTTCGGAATATTTCGCAAAATTTGGAGGAATTTCTCTTAATGTGACTAGCTATACCTCCTTTCGACTTGATTTTCAAGAAAAGTAGCAGCGGAAAGGACCGGTAACTGAGTCTCTCTTCATACCCTCGGCTGAGGTGGTACCGCTCACAGAGTTGAAGCTAGGGCGCCATGAGATCACAGTGCTTGCGAGCTGCGATCTACCCCTCGACGTTGCCATCTGTGACCAAGAACCATACGCTGTTGCTTCTTCTTTATCTGCGCCTGCGGTTGGTTTTCTTGCCTTTGCAGCCAGTGTCAGATAGACACGGCTAACGCGGGTTCTAAAACAAAATAGTGTTTAGTGAGGTCGTTTTAATTTATGTGTTAGATTTTATGTCACCTCTAAGATTATTTTTTTGGAAGTCTACTTTGGTGTTGAGTTGCAACACACTAGATTCAACATGGAAATGTTAGAGTGGCTTACACTCCTGTCGTTAATACTTTTAGTTTTTTACTGTTGTCGATTCAACAGAAATAGGCTACCTTTTGCGTTGAAGAGATAATTTGCCAATATTTTGTTTTACTGCAATTTCTCTTTCTTCAAATATATTTTTTTCAAGGTGTTCTGCGGTGACGAGCCGGAAATTAAGAGAGGAAAACCACATCCGGATCCTTATTTGGCGACGATGAATAGGTATTTAGTTTTTTTCTCTAATCTATTCTGAAATGTTATAGCTTAATAGACCCACTGAGTGATTTAATAGATTGGCTCACTCCACGGAGAAATTATATGTAGAGCGATAAATAAAATATTTCGAAGAAGGAAGTAAAAACTTGAAAAAAAAAACATTCTATTCCTAAAAACTTGCTGTTAACGGTCATTTTTTGAGAAACTTAAACGCTTCTATCTTCCAAATTTTCAGAACATTCGTATTGATAGAATTCACATGTATCAGTCCTACATCGCGAATGAGGTTAGAAAGCCTCTTCCGATAAACACTTCAATATTGCATTTAGCTTTATCACTTTTAAAGGAATCTTGCGCGGAAAATTCTTGCACTCTTTCCTAACATGAATATGTCAGTTGTGATCACTGGAAATAGCACACAAAGTTTCACGCATGAAGATTCGGTTTCTGAAGAGAAACAAACGTACAAAAACTACACGTTATGGACCATCGAAGGACCAGGAGGCAGAGCCAGGCGAGGCATGGAAAGAAGACGGCGTTTGGCCGGCTACGTACCAGGCGACGCAATGAGAGAATCGGGTTAAAGCGCGCGATTTCGGAGAGTGGAGACAAATCGATCGATAATAGGATGGAGTAGAAGTGTAAGATGTGAATGCAACGAAGCAGAAGGCCAGAAAGAGCTTCTAGTGAATGCACTCCAAGAACCAAGTTTGAGCATCCCCGTCGCCAGCATTCGTGAAAGACGTCCGTGGGCAATTTGAACGCGTAGCAGCCTTTTCGAGTTTTCGAATTTCTAATCAAAACGAAAGCAATACTTCAGTTCTTTTCACTATTATCGTGGATAATGAGTCTCAAGCCAGTGATTTATGGCTGAAATAGAATCATGATTTTTCCGCGCAAGATTCCTTTAACTGTTATCTGTTCATTACATGAAGTACACGTAGGGCCATCGATATTTTATAGAGCTTCGTTGTAATTTCCGCCCACTTCGGTGTCACCCACCAATAGCAATTGATCTCCCTTCCGTTGTCAGCTATCCACTATTTCTCCGGTTTCCACGACTCTTTGAATCCGGTTGTAACGCTTCATGGATAAGTCCGCCCCTTCTGGTGCACAATCCGCACACCTATAGTATTGAACTTCATTCCGTTGTCAGACTAAATCCACTTTTTCTCCGATCTCCGGAACTTTTTGGGGCCGAATTATGAGTTCGGTGGCAAACCTCGCCCACAACGGCACACGGCACGTCCATCATTAACATTTACCATTCCCTATTTCTCTAGCCTTGTCCACTTTTTTCTCGGTCTCCGAGGCTTCTTGAAACCGATTCGTAATTTGGTGGCAATCTCTGCCCACTTCGGCGCGCCACGCCACGCTCACCATCAACGTTCGACCCAGGGTCAACCCTGCGTTGCGCAAATTCCAAAATTTTTACGACCCCCTTCCTTTTCGGGGGTATCGGTACGACCCCCCATATTAACTATTATGTCTTTCACATAATTTAATGCTCATCATTGATGTGTGGGCAGTCACCAACATGGAGAAGTGGTGGACCGTGGTCAATCCGCGCGCTCTGTCTCGCTCAGAGGAGGGAATCGAGGCAAATGAAGTTTTATTCATTAAATAGAAGGAATTTTCAAATTTTTGCGTAAACCAATACATCATTTTAATCGTAAAGATTTCTACTTTCAGAAAAAATTTTGAAAATTCAAATAGTTCTTTCCTAAAAAGTATTTGAAATGTTGCGGATGTTCAATATTTCAAAAAATCGTCCCGTTGTTCCGTTTTTTGTGCACACGCGAGTTTTCGACATTCAAACATTCATAACTTTCTTCATACCCAACTTTTTGCAGATGTTCTAAGGCTAATTAGAAACTAGAAGATTAGAGCTTTCGAACAAGCACCTGAAAATTTTCCAGCGATCATTTTTTCAAAAAATAGTCCCGTTGTTCCGTTTTTGGGTGGTTTGGGGTCCGATTTTTGAGAAGGCGCGAGTTTTCGACATTCAAACGTTCATAAATTTCTTCATAGCAACTTTTTGCATATGTTCAAGGCTAATTAGAAACTAGAAGATTAGAGCTTCCAATAAGTGCTAAAACTTTTTAAAAATCACTCGCTCAAAAAATAGTCCCGTTGTTCCGTTTTTTCCACCTTGATTTTTTTCAAGCCATTTTCCTGGACCGCGACTATGCAGTCTTCAAAGGCCCATAACTTCCTTCAAATTAATGTGATGAGAAGCGGTAAAGATGTTTAGAATCCACTCCGGAGAGCTACTCAAATACGTGTAAAACTCCGATGCCACTTCGCTATTGGTCTGCGTTAATTTCCTAAGTGGTTTCTAGAACTCAATACAGCAAGTTCGCTACAATTTGTTCCGCTTAGATTTGATTTCGGCATCATCAAAATTTTCTTTGTAAGGTTTGTTTGCTCACGGCCCCTGACAGAGAAAGCGTTTTTGTGGGAAAAAGCCTGCTCAGGTATACGTCGTGCACTGTCTGTGGACAGAAGTCGCACTCGAAGGGGGGGGGGTGGGGGGGGGGGGGGGGGGGGGGAGGTGAAACCTCCATTTTCCTGAAGGTGTTAGTATCGTGGACTGAGTTGCAATGTACTGTCATATGATATTCTTCTTTCAATCCTCCATGAACTGCTCTGCACTTTGTTCTCCTTGGGATTTCAGGAATGTTCGATCATCGAAAACAGACCATGTTTTTGCACTACGCTGTAACAAAGTTTTGGCTATTGTAATCTTGATCTATGCTGTCGAGTGAAAGCGCCGTCCGTGTATTAAGGATAATCATGGCTGAGAGTGAGATTTATAATGCTCTGCATGCTCCAATGCTCCCATGGAGTTCTTGTTTGTGTGACTCTCCGACAGCTGCGCGGTGCAGAGCTCCTGGAGAACATTAGAGCGTGAAAGTGCACTGCCGGACACTGCACTTTTCAAGCCGTCTTGCAGCGCCGTCTCTCTGGATACGACCCCCTCCCTTTCGTTCGGCAGAATACGACCCCCTCGTTGTTCTTTGCGCAACGGGCGGTTGACCCTTGGGGGGGGAGTCCTTGTCACACCTCTATCCACTTTTTCCCAGTTTCTGACTTTCCTGGATCGAATTATGAGGATTTGTGAATGTAGTACCCCCTTGAGGACAAGCTCCGCCTACTGTGGGGAGGCTTTCGTTCAGTTCGTCTATGTTGGGAGCAGACATTGCTCTTATAAACCTTTTTTCCTGCTCCATCGGCTTTCTCCTGACTTTTTTCCTGGCTTTTTTTTTTATTTAGCACCTCTGTTTAGGAAGCGCTGCCCGCCGTGGGTAGGTCTCCCTGATTGGATTGATCAACTCAGTGCACACCTTTACCCACTTTTTCCGGTCTTGGGGCTTTTCTATAATCAAACTCAAAATTTTCGCCGTCGGCACCGCCCAGTTTCTGTTCCCTTCACACGACTACTATTCTGTTTTAAGGTGTCAATCTAGCAAACTCGTTCATCAATCAAAAATTAGGTCTCTTTTGAGCATTTCAAGTTTGATTCCTTTTTGTTCTCTGGTCTAATTCGGGCCTTTATGTCCAGACGCAGTATTCGGCTGTTCACAAAGGTCCACGCTTCATTTAGAATGCAGAAAATGAATGAACTCGTTATGGGTAGCGATTAAGAATATTGGACAAGCTTTGAAAAAGTAGAAGTAGTCAAAGGCATCACCTCAAAAGAATTGGGTTGGTAGGCATATCAGGGGTGCGAGGGAGAAACCTCGTTATCAGTCCTGAATAGATCGCTGTTCATTGAAGCAGTAAAAGGGCTGATAGTACTTCACTTTTTCTGTTTAGGCTCGATAATGCTTATGTGGTCTTGCTAGGTGTCTGTTTTGAATTTGAAAGCGTCTGATGTTTATTATATCGGTAGAAATCGCAATAGCCCTGAAACATTGTCATAGAACCTTATTGATTTCGGTAACATTCCGCCGTTATGCTTGTTTTTTCAGGTTCCCAGTAAAGCCCAAAGACCCTTCAGATGTGCTTGTGTTTGAAGATGCACCTAATGGAGGTAGAGCAGCAAAGGCTGCCGGTATGAAATGTGTTATGGTGCCCAGCGAGAGCAATCGGCAAGAAGCCCTTCAAATCGGGTGAATATTATGAATCCTCTATATAACTTTTTTTTTCTCATATTTGTCACACATTCGAAATTTATCCCTCGATGATAAATGAGAAGAAAGTTTGACTTTCGCTCCTCATTAGCAATTAAAGGATCGCGTTAATCCACCCACCGGGAAAGCTGTTGAGTTCTGAAGTCTCCTAGCGAACCTTGGGGAAATTACAATGTAGAGTTTGCGAAACCCGAAGGAATCGTCCCCGGAAAATTCTTGCATTCTTTCCAACATGAATATGTCAGTTGTGATCACTAGAGACAACACACAAAGTTTCACGCAAGAAGATTCGTTTCCGAAGAGAAACAAACTTACAAAATCACACCCTACGGGCAGTCTAGAGTAGGTCGGGCACATTCAGCCGGTCGTGCTGAACAATCTGTGTATAGGGTAGAGTGGCTCACGAATGTCATGGATTGCGCCGTTGTCGTGACTTGAAAGTCGCGACAACGATGCTAGGGCTTTACAAATTGAGCTACATAGTGACGGCTACTGTGAGCTGAAAGACGAAATACAAGCACATCCTATAGCACGCAATGTAGTTCTCAACGTAACGGCTAATCCAAATACGCGCGGATTAGTTGAGCCATGGAACAAGCAAGTGACAGCGCGTTGGATAACGCTGACCGCATGCTCGTCCTGCCTGCGCAGAGTCCAAGTCTCTGAGGCGTAGGTTAGGGCAGGAAGGACAGCGGAATCGAAGAGGTGGGCACGGCCGGATGTTCTTCGTCTTCTTCACTACTCCCTCGATGTTGTACGCTCCCCAAGCCGCTCGTTTCCTCCTGCTCAGCTCTGGAGCTAGATCGTTCATCATATTGATTTCCCGACCTAGGTACACGTAGCTGGAGCATTCGGTGATGTTCGTTCCGTTGAGCGTGAATGGGGCATCAGGAACCAATCCGTTTCTCATAAACATCGTCTTCGTTAGGTTCAGCTGTAGACCCAACCTTACCACAGGCGCAGTCGAAATCAGCCAGCATTCGCTCGCTTGCTCGATGTTAGGCGTTATAAGAACGATGTCGTCAGCAAAACGGTGGTGTAGTTGCCAGTCGTCAATCTCACTCCCATGTCATCTCCCAAGTCGCGAACTAACAAGAGGAGGTCGTTCAGGGTGTGCCAAGCATTCTTCAAATGGTATCTTGCATGACACTGGGACACATGTGGAAACCACACAATCATGGTTCGTTCTTCAACGGCCCCTGATGCCAAAAGTGGTGGTAAAGTGGTCCGTGGTTCGAAACCTTGCGGTGACAAACTTTTGCTTTTGTGTTTCAGAAATTGCACAAAATGGCGTTACGCCTTGAACTGATGTCCGTTTCTTTTAGATTGGACTATCAGCCTATTATTAGGGTGGTAAAAAAGTCCTGAGCCGTTTGACACTTTTTTGTTCTTTGCTTTTTTATTCCACGTAGAATGGAATCTACCCAACAATATAATCACCATTGCTACCCACTACAGAGTCCCACCTAATGTGCAGTTCAGCGACTTCCTTCTCCCAGAACAGAGCAGACTGAGAGTCAAAGAAATCGCTGACCGCTCTTCCAACTTCTTTACCTTTGGTGAATTCTTTCTTCGCTAGGGATCCCTTAAGGGGATAGAGTAAGTGATAATCAGAGAAGGCAATGTAAGGGGAATAGGGTTGATGGGGAACCGCGTCCCAGATCAGCTCTTCCAATTCTGCACGGGTCTCTTTAACTTTGTGGGGCCTGGCGTCATCGTGGAGTAGGTGGACAGAAGTTCGTCTCGGTCGTTTTTCTTGAACAGCGTCCGCTAGTTTCTAGAGCAGACTGGCGTAAATGCTGCCGGTAGCGGTATGTCTTTACGGGAGCATATCATAGTACAGCATTCCTCACGAATCCCAGAGGTAGCAAAGGAGACAGCTTTTGGGGTGAAGGTCCGATTTTGCTTGTGTCGGCAGGCCCTCTCTTCGAGGGAGCCACACGGCACCGTGCTTGTTAGAATCGTATAGGACCCCACTCTCATCTCTCGTAATCACGCCTTCCAAAAACCCCTTTCGGTGCGGGCAAAGAAGGAGAAACTGACAAATGGGTACCCGCCTGAACCGCGTGCTATCGGTCAAGACATGAGGAATCCATTGAGTCACCACTTTCCTGTGGCGAGGTCGTGAAGGGGACCGAGGACTGTGGGATGGGTGCACCCGAGTCTTATCACAAGGCTGCGGGTGCTAACGTCCGGATCCTCTTCGACAGCGCCGAGAACGGTGGAGTCTTCTACCTTTTGTGGGCTTCCCAACCTTGTCTTTTCTTTGAAAGCCGTGTCTCCTCCCTCGAAGCCTGCGAACCAGAGCTTGGCACTGATGATGGAAGTGGTGACCCTTCCCAATGCGATGCTGATAATGTTGACGGTTCCCACTGCTCCTGTGCCGCAGCGCGATTCATTGAAGATGATCGCTCGAAAGTGTTCTTGTGGAATCACCATCATTATTAAAGTTAAAGAAGGCAACCCGGCAATATATACCTATTGCGGAGAAGTATGATCGACAACGATAGTCTATCACGTAGCAGATTCTAGGTATCGACCAATAAGCGAAAGTTCTGGAGCTTTCAAAAAATCGGCTCAGGACTTTTTTACCATCCTAATATAAATAGCTTATGACTTTAAAAAACTTGATGATGGAATCGTGACTCCAAAACGGCTACCAATTTGGTACCGGAAGGGCGTCAGAGCGGCATCAGGAGGCGCCAGCGCCAAAAACGAATGTCATAATCGTAGTCAAGGCGCTGGATAACCCTTATAACCGAGGCCTAGGAAAAGTGAACCAAAGTTTTTACTTCCTTGCACGAGTCCCGTCGTGCTGTGTCGCCTAATATCATGCAAAGCCGTTTTAAAAAAGCACGGCACACATTGAACGACCTCCCTTGTGAGAACATAGCCTTTCTGGTTTTTTTTCATCAGCCTCACCACTGCATTTTGCGGACGGACAGACACACACATTATTAGTAATCGCGCATACAGTCGATATCGAAAGTTGGGGTAGGGTGTGTCACCGGAAGTGACGTGCACTTGATAGAAGTTGCGTGGATAAGCTGTTGCCAGCATGCTTTGCTGATATCCAGCGATGTATGTTGGAAGCAGCTTATCCACATAGTTTCTATCAAGTGCACGTCACTTCCGGTGACACGCCTACCCCAACTCTCCGATATATCGAGAATAGTTCTTCGAGAGAGGGGAGGGGAGGGGGGGGGAGTGGAATTCTAAAATTTAGAATTGTGAATTCTTGACTATGAGACAAACTAAAAAAAAAATTATCGAAAAGGCCCTAGTACAGCTCATTTGCCCTTTCACTACAGATGCCGCGTCAACTCTCGTCATTTTCTACCCGAAGTAGAAATCGCCTTCCATGAAAAGCAATCAGACCCCGGTTATCCGTCAAATTGTCGAATGAATTATGAAAACTGACCAGTTCACAGTACAAAAGTGCAGTTCTTTTCGAATGTCATGATGTATAATACAAGGAATGGTAAGAATGTCTTTACAGTACCAAGTTCGGACTCCAGTGATAACGACGAAAAAACTGGTAATGACTCGGATACTTCCGTCAGCTCTGGTGATACAGAGTATTCGACGTCAAAGGATGAACTACTGCGCCGCATATTGGAAGGTACCGAGACAGATTGATCACTTCACAGAAATATTCCGGAGTTATTGTCTACATCCCCTTCAGATCACTTTTTCTAAGGAATTATACGAGTTCACAACTGAATAAAATGTTGCTATTTCCACGAGAATCAATTTCAGGATTAGTACACTGCCAAGAAATTGAAATAAAGTTTAGCGACTAAAATTTGAATAAAAAGAACGGAACTCCATGGAACAGCCAAGTTATCTTGAACACAATATCCAAGAATTAAACATTTATTACCGGTAGATATAGCACAGATCACTTGAAAAAACTGTTAATCAAACGGCGGGAGTCCAAAATCTTCCGGGCGGAATTCCGTCAGGCTACGAAGCACTTGAGTGACCCTGCAAAATAAAATATCGACGTTCATAGCGCTATATCAGTCAAACTGCTGCTAAGAAAGACTGGATGGAAGGCCAATTATGTTTGTGTTTTCCATTAAAGCACAACCTCAGATGAGACTGGTGGGGTCGATAATGAAATTGTGGAAGCCGGGCCGACTGAAATTGAAAAGGAGCAAAACAGACCACCGATGAACCCTTAGAAGCAAGAATCAGGATTGAGTTGATGGGGCATTTCACTTCTAATGTGAAAGTAGGGCTGGTAGATAGACAGAAAAAAGGAAAGAAAATCCTGAAATGCACAGGAAATACGAGCATTTTGCTCAATGCTGTGGAGAAGTTCAAAAGACAGGCAGGGAGATGAGAGATGTGAGCGCGCGAGAGCGGTAGAGAAGTCCGAGAAGAGAGAGCATAGCAGATCAACGTGGCGACGCAGACAAGATATCGAACGGTGGGCGGACCATGTTAAGTTTGGTGGAGTCTGTTAGAAGTCCATGGCGCCTAGGGTTCCTAGTGGCGCGTTTCGATGTAGAAAGGTGACGCTACCTTTGCACTTGCGTACCCAGCACTTTTAGCCATGGTAAGAGCTTCTCAGGTGGGTCTGAGCCCGAACCTTGCCTTTAACCGTCCCTGAACAAGCCATTTTCTTCCCGATATGAGGAAGGGG